TAGAAATGATCCAATCAGGGTGTGAACACCCTCTTCTGATGGAAATTTGCACATTTACTCTCCAACATCTACAGGCTCACCCCAAAAGAGACACACCTCTTCAGACACTTTCCTTGTGCCAGGTTTCAGCTAGAAAGTAGGACCAACTCAGGGTTTGCTCAGACAATGCCGCTACCATGCAGGGTTGGTTCATGGAGTAAGTTTCAGTAGTAAGCTGGCTCAGGATGACTTCTATATGTTTTTCTGAAAACCAAAAACCCAGGATATGCTCATAGTCACCCCAGAACTTAGTCAGGATTTTCACTTATCCTGCTTCCTGAAACGAGGCCCTGATGTGGAGCTCACTGGAGACTTTATCCTGCATACACTAGAAGTGGTTCATGTTCATCAGTCAGTTTAAAAATGAAATAAATCTGGTTGGTGATGTTCCTGACTTTTTTGCACTCTTACAAATTAGCAACAAAATATTGTGGTGTTTTTAAAGCAGTCTGAAATATGAGCAACATGAGTTAGAATCCAAAGTGACCTCGGCTGTCTCCTCTTGTGGTTAATGTGATCCCCAACATTGATCTGGACTCTGCAGTACAGAAGGACCTTCTGTGTGTCACATATCAGGAGCTTTGTTAGCCCTGCCTGAAATAGTTTAGCAGCTGACCAGATGCCAAGAAATAAGCATCTGGATTGCATGACCTCTGTCAGCTGATTGTATAAGCAAACTGAGTCAATGCTGAAACCGAATATACATTTGTTCTGTGATTCATATACGTAGACACCCACTGACAGCACAGGGAGAGGCACACAGTCACAAAATACTGAAGAAACCCGAGTACACCCGCTACCTGCTGCTTCGGCATGACTTTTTTATATTTTATTTTTTATGAATCATGTCTTATTTAAAACTAAAGACTGATGTGCAATAATTTGATATGAAAATTATAATTATGGGACTTCTGTATTGTCATGCATGTTGGTGTATCATAAGCATGTGCTACTTTGATCCAAACTTGAAGAAATGACAAAAACGCTTGTCAATCTATTGAAGGATGTATGTTATTCTTGATGTGAACCCATTTGGTATAAAGTGTGTTTTTGTGATAAAGGGTGTAGAATCCATAGCATTTAACTGCATTAGGGAAGAGTATGTTACTGTGAACACTGTGTCACTGTGTTGTTTTAGATATTTCATATATAAGTATAAACAATCTCCATGGGGATAAAAATCTAATTACTCAGAAAGTAGGTTAGGCTTGTCTTAGTTGGAGCCTCTCTAGTCATACTGCATAGTGAGGTGAGCAGATCTTCATCAGCGCAGACTGAGGGTCCACACAGATTAAGGCAGAGGTTCCCAAATTGTGGGGCGCGCCCCCTAGGGGGGGCACCGTGTCATTGCAGGGGGGGCGCGGGAAGCTATCTGGATGAAAAAAAAAACAAAAAAAAAACATAAACGCTGTATGCGCTGGGTTTTTACCTTAGAATGGCCAACTCTCTGTTATTCCTATGTCAATTTGATACAGTAGAGGCTTCCACACTTCCCATATTTGTGTCCTCTGTCACTTTTATCAGCAGTTAAAACAGTTTAGTCCGTTGTTAACATGTTGTAACCTGTTTTTCCGAGCCGCCTTTAAACGCAACATGAGCGCTACGGCGCTCGCGCTGGGTTTCCACCTGTGAATGAGACCTGCTGCTGCTGGGCGGAGCTATGTAGGTTTGTGTTAGAATCACGGCAGCAAACCAGCAAAACGCAAAGAACTTTTCACAGTTTTTCCCTCCAAACTGAGTTGAGTAAAGCTGCTGGATGCAAGTAATGTTAGCTAAAAGATGACTAGCTAATATCAATACAGAACCTTAAGCTTAACAAGTACCTTGTAGGCTACCGATGTTGGTGTCTATTTTCAGCTACGTACATTCATTATGCCCCCCCCCCCCTCCCCCCTCACATGCGTCGTTTCAACCAGACAGCCATTTGTAATCCATAGGGGGTCGCAGAAAATGTTTGGAAACCACTGGGGGGGCGCAGAAGAAAAAGTTTGGGAACCACTGGATTAAGGTCTAGTCCATACATAGCTGGATATCTGTAAAAACATAATGCATTATTATGTATTGTGGTCTTTCATCCACATGAAAACTCCAGTTAACATCACTAAAAATTATTTACAAAACCTTCAAACAAAGTGGAGATTCGAGAGAATTCCATGTTTGTGATGGAGTGTGTACGTGAGAAAATGAAGATTTGGGGTTCTGAGCATTACAAATGATGCTCTGATATATCCACACGTTGCTTTGACATGATTTTCAATCAATATTGTACCATGTCTTATCAACTGTATATTCTAATACAGCGTTTCTCAACCCCGGTCCTCACCGCCCCCCTGTCCTGCATGTTTTAGGTATTTCCCTTCTGCTGCACACCTGAATTGTATCTCTGGTGATTAACAGGCTTCTGCAGTACTTGATGGTCATGCAGTCATTTGAATCAGCTGTTCTGGAATAGAGGCACATCTAAAACATGCAGAGCAGGGGGGCGGTGAGGACCAGGGTTGAGAAACACTGGTTGAATCGTCGGACGTTCTTTGATTAGCTGCAAAAGGCGGCGGCTAGCTGGGCACACGCGTCTCCTTCTGAGTCTCCGAGACCATGTCGCCACCAAAAAAGAAAAGGACAGACATTAGAAGTTATTTCGCTACGTCGGCTGTAAGTACAGTGAGTGGACCCATAAGTTAGATATCTATCACATTTGTTGTAAAGTCCGGTGTTTAGTAAGGTCAGCACTGAATGTGAGGTAGAATAGGTCTGGGGGAGTGGGGGGAGGGGGGGTCAAGGTCCCCACCAAGGTCCCCACCAAAACTTAGACCGAACCTACGCCCTTGCTGGAGACGTAACAGAAACGTTCTGTAGCAGTGGCACAAATGTGTGATATATACCGTATATGAGATAAGCCTGAGATTGCAGTCGATCATTAGCTCATCTAAAGTCTATAAAACCTGTGAATAATGACTTCCACACATGTTGGAGGTAAAAAATAAAATCATTACAATGTGAAACTGTAAAACAATGAGGTGTTTTTAAACTCAGCCTTCTTATTTCAGATCTGGAATCAAAGCAGATTATTCTCTGACTGGAACATTGTTTTGATCCGCATCCTCTTTACATTATTAATAGGCCCAGAAAACACTGACTCAAAGTCATTCTGACTGACTTTGAGAATCAAAGTTCTGCTTCCAGGAGGGTAAAAAAGGGCATCAGGGGACACAACACATATGATGCTGAGATGTCACAGAAATGAGGATGTTGCTGTTGCTTATTGCTGGAAAATGAGTAAAAACAGCTGACATCAGGAGGCAAAGATCTACGGAAAGTTATCAAGAGAGCAGAGACTCAAAAGTCATCTCTGGAAAACAGAGTGACAAGTTTTTTTATAATTTCATTCAGTCTGAACAGTTTTTACAATGTTAGCCTGTCTGGAAGATGTGCAAGTAAAACACCTGCTCCCTGCTCTGCACTCAACAGGAAGTTAGAGATTGCTGAAGAACATGACTCCCAATGGACGTCAGTGACTCATGGTTTGGCCAGAAAAAAGTTGATTTGTTCAACTCAGACAGGCTTCTGCATGTTTGGAGGACAACAACGTTGAGCACAACGTCCTGACAGTGAGCCATGGAGAAGGAACAGTCAGGGTAAGAGGCTGTACATGCAGAAAGAATTAGAGACGTGACATTGAAAGAAAGCCTGCAGATGAGAGCTCTGCCTAAGAAGACAAATTACTATCTGATGCCACCTACAAGAGAAGGGCTGTGTGCATGAACTATAAAAGAAATTACACTCTTTTTGTTCTGGTCAATTAAGATATGAGTGTTTAAAAGGTCCAATGTATCCCAAATCATTCCCATTTCATCCAAACAGAGATAAACTTTCCATGGCAAATTGAAAGCTGTAATTGTTAGTAATACAACTTTAATGAAATATTTAGTCACAACAAAGGCCCAAACAGATGTAACTATATGAAACTATCTGTGAAAGGATTTTCACAGATATCTCCAGTAGTTCCTGGTAACAGAGACTTACTGTTATTAAGTAACACATAACTCAGACACATAAGTTTATCTGTCAAGGAGTTTCTGTTCGTTCCTTGTAATGAATCGGTTTGCTTAAGTTCCAGAGTCTTTCCAGATCTCAGCTTCCCTTCAGCCAGTCAGGATTGGCTATCTGTAGGGAAAACAAATCCTTCCTAAAATAATGGCACATTCCTTTTTTGCTAAAAGATGATTAGGGGGAACAGAATTTCTTTATGCCATTATTTTAGGAAGGTGATGATATGTGAACTTTCCCTGGCTGAGCCTGCTGGTGGTCTCAATCCCTCAGATCAGCTGAATGAGTCAACAGCAATTCTTTAAAATGACAACAAGTCCTGGAAACTACAGGAACATCTCAGTCTGATGCAAATGGTTCATTGCATTCTGATACATTCAAAACGGACTGATGAGCTACTCTGCATCAGTTTTTGTTCAGCTGACACCAAAGTCAAACTGGACACAGTCCATGGAACTGCAAACTTAGAGAGATCCAAAGTCTAGATGTATTCAACCACCATTTACCCCAGGATTAATGTACTGAAACATGATGGACTTCACGAGAAAAACAGCAAAATGTTATCTAGAAAACCGTCTTATTTTCCCACTCAATATTTATGGGTTCAAATTAAACGCTCTGAGGCATTTAAAGGGATTCCCTGAGGGGAGTTAAGCTCTTTTGTGAAATAGGCCTCTGGTTTTGACAACTGTCACAGTAAATATAAGGTAAAACAAAAGCAGCCAGATTCATCGGCACAATTCACTTTCATCTTCAACACCAAAATCTCTCTTTGGAGGAAGCATCTGTTCTTAACCTCCCACACCCACAGGGCTCCCAGGGTTTCACAGCTGAGGTAAATATGCACACCTTGATGTAAAAAATGGAAACAAGAAGTCCATCAATGTGATGCTTGAGCACAGTGCAACAAAAGGATTACAGAGGTAATCTGTATTCAAAGCTGCACAGGGAAAATGAGCCATTTTAAGCCTTTTGTTTTGATTCTTTGGTTTTCTGGTGATTTTAATTAGCGCGACTTTTCAAAAGGAAATGCAGTTCACAGAGCCCAGTTCAGCTCAACCTTCATTCAAAACAGGATGGATGAAAATGCAGGGCGCAGAAGCTTTTTGAAGCTGGTACATCTTTCCTCTGGTCTGCTTCTCAACCAGACTGTTAATCCCCAGTTTTTATATAAGGAATCATTTTACACCTTCCTGCATGTCCTGCAACAAACCAGACAATGTGTATTTTAGTGGCTGTGCCCTTTAAACTGTGCATATAAGCTATTTATGCTGGAGAGTGTTTGATTATATTCGATTGAGCAGCGTAACAATTTGCAGCTCCACTGTGGAAATACCTGTCAGGCTTAGATAAGCATTTAAAATGGATAAGAGAGGCAGGAAGGATGCCAGGGGAGAGAAATAATAAAGACAAATGAAAGCAAGGACAATCTCTACTTAGAGGGAACTTGATTTAGAGATCATTGAAGGTGGATGGAGAGAGATAAATGTTTTAATGGAGGTTATTATTACTGATTAGACAGAAAGAACTGTTTGCCCAGAGGAATGTTTGAGAACATTGTCATTTTTGTAATCTCTCTGTAGAAAGGAAAAAAACTGTTGATCTACAAGGCAAAAAAAGAATTAAGGCTAAAAGTACAATTACATTAACATAACTGCTGGTTGGAGGTTTACATTCACTTGTCATGTGCAAGACAGAAACTTAAAATGTTTATGATCCGTTTAATTTATTCTTTGTTTTCGCAGTAAACCCATAATATAAGACACATTGTCCATGAAGCTTTAAAACCAGACTTGGTTTCATCAGTTTGAATTCATTGTGAATCATTTTGAAACCAAAGCAGGTGAACAGTGACTAAAATAAGGCATCTAGTCTCATATTTCTCATATTATACTCACAGCAAAATCTGTGTCGTATCACTGAGCATATCAGTCATATTCCTCTGAAGTGAGATCAGGGCATACAGTAGTGTGAAAAAGTGTTTGCCCTCTTCCTTATGTCCTATTGTTTTGCATGTTTGTTACACTTCAGTGTTTCAGAACATCAAACCGATTTAAGTAATTAAGTGGTCAAAGTCAACACAAGTAAACACAAAATGCAGATTTTAATGGTGCTTATTATTAAGAGAGAAAATATTCAACCTTGCACGGTCCTGTGTGAAAGAAAATGTTGTTTTCACTGATGAAGAGTGTGTGAGATGTATGTCATTGTTTTTGGCTTTAAATGTTTTAATTTGCTAAAGTCAGTTGTAAAGTGGAGATGAGTGGAGTTAACATTCCATCACAAGTGGAATGTCAGTCATTCTACAAACTCACTGAGATATGATATGACATCTATCTGTCACAGAACATAACTTATCAAGAGATCATTTAATATGTACTAAATATTAATTTTATGCCATACTGACATATAAATTAGTGAGCAACTGCTGGTCTTTTTTTGTCTTTGTTGGTAGTACTGCTGCCTTGCAGCAGGAAGGTCCTGGGTTTGAGTCCCAGCCTGGGGTCTTTCTGCATGGAGTTTGCATGTTTTCCGTGTGTGTGTGTGTGTGTGTGTGTGCGTGTGTGTGCATATGGTTATTTGGCCAGTCTAACTCTGTGATGGAATGGCGACCTGTCCAGGTTGATAATCTATGCAAAGATTGCGCTCCTCCATCTTCTCCCTTAACTACTATCTGTTAAGTTAGTATGAGTTACTCTCTGTCTGAAGAAATGCACCGCTCCTGACCAAAAACAACCAATCAGGGCCAGGAAAGGGGGGTTAACGCTGTCAATCATCCTCATGTACTTGCTGTTAAATGTCCTAAAGGTGGAAAAACAACTTACAGTTACAGGAAAACCGTTTATTCGCCATCATGGCTATGGCCATCATGGCTATGGCCATCATGGCTATGCTACTTGCCTGAGCATTCATGACAAGCTGTGCTAGCTGCAGCGTACCGGAAAGCAAGGGGGATGAGGGATATGGGGAATGAGCAGCGCCACAGAGGGGTGATTGACAGCATTAAGACGCTCATCCAGGCCCTGACTGAGATCTAATCTGATTTGATATAATCTGGGAGAAGGCAAAAAAGAAAATGTCCATTTTTTCAGATGATGTCTCATGATATACTGTGACAGTTTCAACAAATATATATAAAAAAATATATATTTTAATGAAAGTTACATACCACAGCTTTAATGTGTGTCCACCACTTTGTATCATAGAATTACTGTAGCTCTCTAGTTATTGTCCTTCATTTGCCAATTAATTTGCCAAGAAAGTCCTCTGTAAACTTTCATTCGACCTTTTTGCCATTGTGAGTTTGTTGCAGAAGGGCGTGTCTTTTTCTTATACACACACACAACAAACTGTCAAATGTCAGTGGTTACGGCAGAGCACGGCGGCGTGTGGAGGCTTCACAGAGAGCGATGATTGCTTGTGTTATCAGTGTTGAAACAGACAAATCAATCCCGCCCTGACAACCACACAATTAACCGCTTTATTAGCCTGCTTGTAGACCAGATCATCGTGAGGGGGGAGTCAAGTACCCGCAAATAAATGTTCCAGCAAAGAGTGTTGAAGAAGGCAAGGAGGCACACAAGAGTGTATTTAGTATGGAGAGCGGGGACAGAGTGA